AAAACCTGGGAAATATGTGCTCGTTTTTTGGTTGTACTATATTCAAATGCTCACAAAGCCAAAACTGCGTGACAAGCAACAAATATTATATAAGCTAGTCCAACCATTTGCAAAATTTAAAAACACATGAACCACGGAAAAAAAAACACAACATAACAACCAATGCCATACGAATCATACCAGCAGTACAACCACGTATGAAGTCACCCTACTAGGCGTTCGATGGAACTCTTTTATTGATCCCATCAATGTTGTTAGTATCGCGCCAGTCCAGTCATACAATCAGAATGTAGTGAGGTCGTTGATGTAGCAAACAAATGCCTCGCTGATTGTTTCCCCCGTGTTGGAAAAAAAATAGTATGCTACACATTTACAAAGCTAACAACTTCGTCGTGTCTTCTTTATCCTGCCTTGTGTGATCCCTAGCTGCCTCTAAGAACAAAGTCTTCACCAATTTCGACGTTACTCACAAAATGCCACGCGCCCTTTGTTGAACAAAATCTGACACTGGTTGCTGATCGGGTGACAGATCAATTCGCCTCTTCCCGCATTGTAATCCAAATGGTAACCTTACGTCACAGCTCCCAAGCTTCACACTTGACCCACCAATGTTGAACACATTTTCCCCGGATTGTATGCGTTTATAATTTTAAATATGAGCTCGTCATACTTTCTAAGTTCGTTGTGATTCAGGTTATTCACATGTATTGCATCGATCATGATCCAAAATGGCTTCCTTTTCAATTGTCGTAAATGTCCCTCCCTCAACTTTGCTGAGTTGACAAGCTTAACAATCCAAGCTATGTTAGATCGGAAGTTTAGCCTCGTTTTATGTTGACGTTGCCCACTGGCAACTACCTTTCCTACATTACGGCCCACCCTATGTGTGACAACTTTAGCCTGTTTAAAGAGTATACGGCCTTGCGTTTTCACCCCAAGTTTGTTTGAATCTGAACCAATACCCTTTTCAGCTTGGTTTTTTTCACATGAACAAGTCCATGGACTTGTTTCCTTACGAGTACCCGAAACAAGAACAACACAGCCTTTTCAGTTTAAATGCAATTTCCAACATAAAAAAGCAAACTTAAAATTGTACATGTCGCACCTACACCGTGTGACAACTAGCCAAATTAATACATTCCATAAAAACATACACAACAATACACATCGCATTCCTCCCCCAATTTTTCCAACAGCCAACACCCAAATTAAATAAGATGTACACACGTGTATTCACAACACCACCCATACACCCCACAAATCACATACGAAACGTCGTTACCAAACAACAAGTTCTTGTTTGTGTAAGTACATGTTATGCATATTCACTATAGTGCCAACACGAAACATGTCATAACGTCTCAGACGAATTTCAATTTTACGTCACTCATATACAACGTCCATCACACGTCCGTCACATATGCAGGCTTCACGCTTACAAAAAAAACAAAAGCCACTCTCCACCAAAAAAATAAAAAAAACCAGCCAACACCCACATTTACTACGTTGCGCATTTTTTTTTTCCCAATCCTACCCGTATTGCACACACACCAAGCTTATCTTCGTGTGTGTACATTGTTTGTAGAGTCATTATAAGACCATCTCTCAACATGTCACACTAGCCCTCCCTAACATTCAACATGCACACAAAATCATAAACCATTCGACATCATAACCACTGCATATAACACACACACTACATATCAAACAAACCCAAATTCCTACCCCTAGCCCCTTACCACACACACAACACAACACCAATTCACCCAAACCATTTACAACAATCATCATACATTACAAAATTCCACACCAATTAGCAACAAATAAAGTAAAAAAAATGGACCCTAAACATCATAACCAACTGAAAACACATACACTCCGCAAATTGGACCCCACACTACAAATTCTTCTGACAACACATATACATCCAAACCCTACACTAACAAATAAAGTCAGAAAATAGGACCCCAAACATCAAAAGCAACTGACAACATACACACTCCGAAAAATGGGACCCCAAACTACAAAAACAAATGGCAACACATAATCTCTGGAAATGGGTCCTCACATATCCATCTAATAAACCAAAATCAGTAGCAGGGTCTTGTCACATACCTTTTTCACCCATTGATTCAGTCCACAGGGTTAATCATTGACACAATAAGGCTTTTGATTCATCGTCTTCCTCCCACCCGCCTCTGAATTGTGACGACGTAATCAACAAAACGATGCACGGTTTCAACGTGACAATCTCGCACCTTCAGCATATTTCAATCATCTGCCCAAATCACGCACAAAATCGCAATTAAAATTTTTTCAAAACGTGAAATTAGGGTTTCACACAAAGCAGTAAACCTCCCATAACAAAATGATGATGAGTCGTGGTTCTAGGTTTCGGGTATTGTGATTTGATGGCGTCGGGTCAGATTTTGTGACACGCTAAACCTGCACCACTAAGGCAAAAACCACAAAAAGGCTTTAGTGTGCTCCTTCACTATGTGCCATCCACAACGTGTTACGTGCTTAGACCCATCCAACCATACAGCATGTGCACAACACCCCCTATGTACGTAAATTATGTATGGCACACGTGCGATTCCGAAACCACACCAATCCATCTGCAACTCATACGTTAACCGTCATAATGATGGCAAATACGTCATTTTAAAAACAAAAGGACCAAACAGATCATTAAAAAACAAATGGGACTAATTGGAAAAAAGTACAACTTTTAAGATTTATTGATAAATTTCCCCCCAAAAAAAATCCCCTTAAAAGTATTCAAAATTTAATATAATGAAAAATAATACATTTTTTTAATATCATAATCAAACACACTTTGAGACTAGTGGGATGAATGATTTAGCATATAGCACTATAGGTGATAAATTATAAGATAACAGATATGATAAATGATTGGATTCGTTTGTGATGTGAGTTAGTTTTTTATTTTTTTTGTTATTTTAACTTGGGGTTAAAAAGTCTCGTTTGGAATAGGGTTTTTAATTTTTTTTGACTTTTGTGGAAGGCAAAAATAAATAATTGTGATTTAAATGTAACATTTTGTCTTATTTGACTAAAAAACTTATTTTGGGTTCGTTTGAAATGTGGGTTGACTTTTTAATTTTTTAGTTATTTTAGTCTGTGGCTAAAAAGTTTCGTTTCGAATAGGTTTTTTGACTTTTATGAGATAACAAAATGAAATGATTATGGTTTGGATGCGACATTTTGTCTTATTGGGCTAAAAAACATTTCTTAAAAAAAAAAATATTTTAGCAAAAAAACCTTATTTTAGTTTATGCTAAACGAAGATTTTGTCTTTTTGTAACTATTTTAGTCAAAAATGCTCATTTAAACTTATGTTAAACGAAGGCATAATGAGTAAAATATTGCGAGAGATGGTTTTACAATATTATTTCGTTTCAAATAGATTTTTATTTGATTTTCACTCCAATGCCCGAAACAATAAATACTTCGGTCATGGGTGTCAGAATTGACATTCTGACAATTAAGTCAGATTCTGGATGAAAGGAGACAAGTTATATATTTAGAGAATGAAGTAAGTTTGGGTGAATGTGCATACCTCTCTTATTCTATTCATCCTCCTTATATAAATACTTTGTGTAGATATTTCTTTATGTAAATTGAGATTTTTATCATTATTACAAGGGCAAATTACATATACACCCCTCCAGGTTTGGTTAAATTACAGATACCCCCTGAGGTTTCAGAAATTACATCCCGCCCCCTGAGGTTTGTATTTTCATAACAATTTACCCCCTGAGGTTTATATTTCATAACAAATTACCCCCTAATTTCTTATGCAAATATAGCATTCAGGGGGGAATTCGTAATTTCTCAAACCTCAGGGGTATCTGTAATTTTGTCAAACCTGGAGGGGTGTATATGTAATTTGCCCTTATTACAATATCAGAACCCATATCCCTATTATATATCTAGAAAATGATAACTTGGGCCCACTTCGATTAGGATAGTCTGTTGAGCTGACATTTTTAGTCGACATGAATGCTCTTTGATTGTCGACAATTACTTATCAATGTATCACCTAATCAGCGCATAGATTACTTGGCGTCATATCTCTAATATAGTGGGCCTGGTTAAGTATGGACTTAATCGGACCATTAGTGATGGACTTATGTTCTGTTTGCCAAATGTATAATTTTAATACTCGACTCCCATAAATATCATATTATGATGAAATAAAAAAGATCTAATTAATTTTTACAGTTAGACGAAGGAAAAAAATAAATCAAAGACACCAACTCATTATAATGCTACACTATTATTTAATCCCTTTATTTTATTTCTATTTAATTCTATATACAGTGTTAAATTATTTTGGCCTTGTTTGGCATGGTTTAAAAAAGTCAAAAAGTCAGTATCCTATTTAAGTCATATCATCTTATTTAAATCACATCACCTCTCTAACACATCATTTCAAATCCAACCCATACCCAATTCATATTTTATAAAAATACACTTATTTAGATCATCACAAACCACCTCTTAGAATTTAGAGTATCATGCAAAATAAAAGGATGTTTTGAAAATTTCATGAAAAGTTGACTTTTTAATTTTTGATTAAAAAGATGTTTTGAGAATTTTATAAAAAATTAACTTTTTAATTTTTTTAATCCAAAGATCAGATTGAACTATCCACCACGCACGCACGTAATTTCCACTCCCAATCCTTTTAATCCTAATTATCCTGCAACAAAACAATCTGATTGATCCCACGTATCTTTCCTATTTCAAGGCAACCAAACGTGGCCTTATCGCAAAGGCATTCAATCCAAACACAAAAATGGGCCACCTAACCAGGTCACGTGACACACGCAGAGATACCCCGACGAACAAAGAACCACGCGCACTTGCATACCACAGACCAATCAGGGAACTCCACATCAGATCGATGATCAAACCCATCTCACACGTAGCCAAAGAAAATATAAAAAAGCGCGTGGAGATGCCCATCACCCCCAATCGGTAGGTGAAGACGTTTGATATTGATCAGGCACTCCACACACCGCTCACATTTATACAGCCATCAACCACTTAATTTTTTCACAACAAAAATCACATATTTGTTTGTTCGTCTGTTGACTCTCTCTCTATCTCTCGAGGGGTGTTCTGAGGTAAATCAATCAATTTTCTCTCTATACCTCTGTTTTTCGCCAATTCAGTTACATGATTTCAATGATTATTATTTTGATTCAGCTTAGTATATCCAATGATCGATCATCGATCGATCGATCGATTATTATGTGGTTTGATTTTCGCGATGTTGAGATAACCTCAGCTCGTAGTGTTCTTCGTTCGAATGATAGTTTGCTATTATCGTTGAAATAGATTCAGCCTGTAACTTTACAGATCTAGAGTTTGACTCTGAACGACGTGTTTGGTCACTGTTGATTGTCTTCTTGTGTTTGGTTGCTGAGAAAATAAAGGGGAAAATTAGTTAAAAATGATGAATTTGATATCATGTAGACTTTGGAGTGTACACTGGTATTTATGGGCTCATTCCTCACCGTTTGTTATCTATTGAGCTTGTTTGCTGAGAAAACTAGGGGAAAAGGAGTTAAAATGATGAATATCATGTTGACTTGGGAGTTTAGAGTGGGATTTCTTGGCTTTCTTCTCTCTAAAGCCAAGGGAATCAAATTGTTGAATTATCTTGTTTTGAATGTGGTTTGTGAATGTAGTTTATACTTACGAACTAATGACTAATAAATATATTTATATGACAATATCCATTTTTATTCATTAAGAAATTTGAGTATATTTGCATTTTACAGTTATATGAAAACTGTATAGTGGAGGATAAAGGACTCTTAATAGTTGTTGAACATTTGAATTGTCTGGTATGTTATTGGGTTTCACTTGCATACGCACACTTGTGCTGCTGTGTTTGCATAAAAGTAGAAGTGACAAATTTGACTTTTGTTTATTGGAAAACTTGAACAACAGAGAAATAAATTGATACTCTTTTTTGTGGCTCACTTTGCATAAGACACAAAATTTGCAGAATCAGAATAAACACAAAATGAAATTTCAGCTTATCGTATTTGGAAACTAAAAGATTAGTCACTGGTGCTCTTTTACCAATAGCCATACCTTCAAACACTAAATGAGTATGAACTTTTTTTTTTTTGTAAAAAAAAAAAAAAAAACCCCTTAAAATCAGCAATTTGAATGCAATGTGCTGAAATAGAAGCTCGTAAAAGTGGTTTGTGGTGGATTTATATATTTTTATTTTTTGGATGGAGTTTGAAATTCTCTGTATAGCTTCACTTTTTGGCCAGTTGGTCTTCATTTTCAGAGGGTTGTCTACTTATCCTTGACTTCCAGCTTAGCCTCTTATACATCTACCCTCATCACAATAAAAATCTATTGTATTTTGGCTCTAACTACTGTGATCTTTTGTCTTTTACTTTCTAGATCACACACAAGCTATAACAATGGTGAAGGCTGTCGTTGTTCTGAACAGCAGTGAAGGTGTCAGTGGCACCGTACACTTCACTCAAGAAGGAGATGGTAATATTCAATTAAATTATAGTTCATGCATATGCATGCCATTTGTGTTGCAAGTTGAATTATTTTGTTTGTTGTATGCCTCAGGTCCAACTACAGTTACCGGAAGCGTCTCTGGGCTTAAACCTGGACTTCATGGTTTCCACGTCCATGCTCTTGGTGATACAACGAATGGTTGCATGTCAACTGGTAATTTTCACCCCCACCCCAAATTCACCTTCTTTACTTTTTTGTCCATGGAATGTGGAAAATGAAATGATAGTGATCAGTTTCAATTTAACATCTCAGTTATGACCATTTAAATTTGCAGGACCACATTTTAATCCTGCTGGCAAACTGCATGGTGCTCCTGAGGATGAGAATCGCCATGCCGGTGACCTTGGCAACATCACAGTTGGTGCAGATGGTAAGCTATCATTTGGAATGGACCGTTCATTCTCTTTTTTCCTCCTCATCATCATAATTATCTGTTGCCATAGGTGTCTTTATCTTGAGCATCATAATTTTATCCATCACTTTTTTATTTATTTAGAGAACTTTGCTTAATCAAAATCCAGTCTTTTTTTTTTGGTCAATTCTGATGGTCTTTGTTTCACACAGAATTCTTTATTAGCATTAGCATTTAAGTTTTGTTTAAAAACCCCATCCAAATTGATACTACAAAATCACTTTTGATAATTATGAGATGATGGTTGTTGTTTGGCTTTCAAATGAAAGTGCCTTTCTATTTCTATGAATTTTAAATGTCATTTTTTATCCATCATCACCATAATTTTATTGTTTCTGGATGATACTGTGATTTAATTTAGGCCTTCATACTTTAACATGCCATTAACATTTTGCAATGACTTTATGTGTTTCAGGCACTGCATGTTTCACCATTGTTGACAAACAGGTGAATTAGTTACTTGTATTATCTCAGTTAGGACATCCTATATGGGCTGTTGATCTTATTTTTCTGACATGTTTACTGTATGCAGATCCCTCTCTGTGGCCCAAATTCCATCATTGGAAGGGCTGTTGTTGTCCATGGAGACCCTGATGATCTGGGAAAGGGTAACACTAATTACGTTACAATTATAACGTTTCTTTGTTGTTAGGGTTACCTTACTCTAATTTCACTTAATGAACAATTTTCATTTGCAAAAAATGCTATATGGCCCTTTAAGTGGAGTTCAAGAGCAAGAAGATGGGTGTGGGTAGCATTGTAGCACTGGTTACATGCTACATATGAATAATATTCTTGAATTTTTACTGTTTGGAACTCTCTTTTTCTTTAGCCTGCTCCATTCTTGAGGCAGCATTTTATATGTTACAATCTTTTTTGTTCAGGTGGCCATGAACTCAGCCTAAGTACTGGAAATGCTGGTGGAAGGATTGCCTGTGGTAAGCATTCTGGTTTAATTTTTATTTTATTTTGTTATATAGCGTGGTTTAATGAAAACCTCATTTCTATTGTTAGCACTTATGGTTGATTGTATGAATGGCTGGGTTTATTTTAGGGTGTTGTTCCTTTTGGTAATGTGATTTAGGGGTAAATCAAAAAAAGTGGGGCATCCAACAATTTTTGTGGGTTGCATTTAGAGGCTCCCTTCAAACAAACATGGGATGGTACAAAATTTACTAATTCCCCTCTTAATTCAAGGGGACATTCCAAACACGATATTAGACATTATTCTCGGAACTATTAGCAGGCTCTTGTAATCTAGTCCAACAAAACAAACACGATGAGTGTAGATTATCCCTCATCGAGCAACATCAATTTAATATACTCTTACCCTTTTGCAGGTATCATTGGCCTGCAGGGTTGATTAGCCATTCATGAGTTGCTGTTTACTTCAAATCCTGCTACCGAATTGCAACCCTGCAACTGTGTGAAAAATCAAGTTACTAGTGAAGGCTTGTTTGGTATAAATAAAAGATTGGTTGAGACTTGGGATAGTTGAACTTATGGTTTGCTCAGTAATGCTTATTGCCTTCCTTTTCCTATGGTGAAGCGATTTTGCAACTAATTTCATGCCATTTTGTGCATTTATTAATGTGATGGGTTCAATATCAAGGAACAAAATTTAATGGGCTCTGGCTGGCATGTTTTGCAATTCTTAGCTATTATTCTACATTTTCAAAGGCGGAGGTGGGGGTGTTTCACCCTCCAATTTTCACTTGAATTTTATTTCACTCTTTTTTACCTTCTAATTGCTGAAGTCTCTAGACTTCAACCTGTGTTTTAATGTGTTTCTTTCATCACCCATTTTTTAAAATTTGAGTTTGAAGTTGAAACATGAGAATGAGAGATTAGAGTGGACGTTTTAGGTTTCAAAATGTCTAGCGGTAAGTGACGGGAAGACTACATTTAAGTTTGTGGAGTTAATTATTGCTATTGGAAAGAGAGAGGAAAGCATCTTGGATTGCCCATTGATTCATATCACTCAACTCCGTTGCTCAACTTGATTTGCATTATTTTGATATGAATCAATGGCAACAACTATCAACAATTATAGTATTGATGGTATAACAGTTGTCTTGATCTTGGATTGTCAAATAGATTCACATTTCTGTTTTCTTTGTGCTGGAGCTCATCGTGGTTAGTTAATAGTTCTCTAAGTTTTACGATATTTCATAACTAAAATCTTTCAATGTTGCTTGAAGCAATTGGCATAAAAACGAGTGTCAGCAATACTTATATGCCAATTTGTGTGTTCAATTTGTAATTAAATCTGATAATTATTTAAAATAGTTTGAGAGAATTGAAGTAAAAAATGTTTTGGGTATTTTTAAGAAAAAAATAGTTTTTTGTTTGGATAGAGGAATGTGTGTGTTTAGATATCAGGATAAGAGTGCATTTGTTTTGAGGTAATGCTGGGATATTAAATTTTTTACTAAATAAACGACTTTTGTGTGAGGTTTATATTTTTATGAATCTCACATTCATATGAGATAGATATTTAATTATTCATTTAGTAAAAAATTTATGACGTATAATATTTTCGTTTGTTTGGAGTGAGTATATGTGGATTGTCAAATTTTTCTCCTTCATTTCCTTGGTCCAACATTTGTTTGGAAGGATTGCTATTTCAGCACCGAACAATCATATGGGTCTCGTCATATTAGTTTTCATTTATCTCTTATCCTATCAGAATGTTCTAAATAAGTATACTTTTTAATTTTTTTTTATAAAAAAATATGTAGAAAAGTAAAGAAAGTAGGTAGAAAAATAGAGATGAGATATTAATAGATATTAATTAATGTGATCCAAATAAGTGTATGTATGTAAAAAAATAAAATAAAATTAGTGCATATTAAACATTTACTAAATGTAATTAGAAGCAACGACTAGTAAGATCCCATGTGTGTGATATTTTTCCAATTTCATGTGAGGATATATTTACAAAAAGTAAGTATTGAATTGCAAATTTTTATTTTTCTATATTAAAAAATTGAAAGGAAAAAAAAAATGACAAATTACACTAGTAATCCTTCAATTTGTTTACCTTGCCAATTTAATCCTTATATTTTTTATTACTTCAATTTTACTGTTAAAATTCGCATATTATATTAATTTAGCCCAACTGATAGCTGTCATTTAAAAATTAAATCAAAATCAATAGAAAGAATGGTCAATTCACTACCCTCAATGTAATTGAAATATGATTTGAAATGATATATTCTTTTTTTTTTTTTTTTTAATAAATCAGTCTTTAATTTCTATCCAACTTTTAATAAATATTATTAAAACAAATTAGTTCGGTTTAATAAAAATATTATTAAATTAGAACAATGTGCAAAATTAAATGGCGCCTATCATGTTTATTCAATGCTTAGATTCTCACGTAAATTTTACCTTTGAATGTTTTATGGATTTAGTCTAATCAATAACTTTCATTTAAAAATTATAAAATCATGGGGCAATATAATCATTCAACTATTCTAAGAGCATTCCAAGGTTTGCCTGGATTGGTCTATATTCTTTGTGTTGGGTTTGTTTCAAGTTTATATATCAACTTGAGATAATTTAAGGGATCCTAGAGTTTATCACATGTCATTTTTTTATGATATGAACTATTTATTTTGTAAGATTATCAATATATATCATTCATGAAATAAATTAGTTCGATTTAATAATCGTAATTTTTTCATTTTATTACATTTGCCATTGAAAAATAGATGACATGTATTTTATAAAAATAGACCATTTATTTTTTTAAAGACAAGTAGGATAAAATAAAAAAATAACAATTTTTTAATCAATCTTTTCTTTATTTTTTTAAATGGATAATATACATTAACGACCATACAAATAAACGAGTTAGATCATTAAAACGAGATTTACGTTACCTTATACTGAGATGTTAATATGAGAAAAACTCAATTCATTCTTTTTTTAATGAACCATTTTGCCTTCTTTTTTTTTTGGGGTTAAAATTTGACCAAATGTTATCAATTTGTCATAATTTGATTAAAGGGCAAATTTGATATAATTAAAAGTAAAATGTTTAAGACCTTTTTTTTTTCTTCATAATTTGATCCACAATGATATATCATGATACATATCAACTTCTAATTTGTCACGTATTTAATTGTGTGGAGTCTATCTCTCTTACCACATTATTGAAGGTAAATTTAGAGGTTTAAATTGTAAGTCTCTAACAACACTCCGATTAGTGTTTTAAAAAAAAATACTCTAATTAAAATTACAAAGATCAATCTGACTCGATAAACAAAGGACTGGGCTCCCTCTGACCACTCATGCGAACTAGAGGGCGCTATTATGCAGGTTCTATTTTTATGATTCGAAATATTCATTTTATAAGTTTTTTGTATATATCATTTACAAATAAATTTAAGTTGATTTGATAATCATAACCTATTCATCTATAATATTTGTCGACAAAACAGAAAAGAAAAGAGAGGTATGTTTTTAGGGTTTGGTTATGGTGTGCAACTTACACCTTACACCTTATACCTTACACTTACACCTTACACTTACACCTTTTGTAAAAAATTAAACCTTATACTTACACCTTTTTTGCGGTTGCACACCATGTGCAACCCACTTACACCTTACACCTTACACTTACACCTTATACTTATACTTACACCTTACACTTACACTTTTTGTGTAAGTGGCACATGGTGTACACTTGCACACTTAAGAAAACTCCATGTTTTTAAAAAGTAGCCATCTATATTTTTAAGTAACAAATGTAATAAATTAGAATATGTTACAATTATTAGAGCGATCTAATTTTATGTACAATAATGATTTAGACCACTAAAAAATACACTATTAATAGCATTAATGCATTGGAAATGACAACACAAATAAAAAAAAAAAAAGTGGTTGGGGCCTGTGCCACATTATCAGTACTCCTTCTAATGCTTCCAAACATTTTTCTTTTATGTATGGATAATATACATAAAAAATTATACGAAAATGAATGATTCAAATTATCGAAATCCATAACCTTAGACCTCATATTCAAATTATAAGGATTACCGGTATAATTTGTCTAAAAAAATGTTGCAAATTTCAGTGGGGGCAAAAAAGGAAAACAAGTATGCCAAGAATGCCCCTAAAGTTCAATTTAATTACAATTGGCCCAACATACTACATGAAAATGGGACTACCTGCGTAATTAAACCAAAATCGGGGGTTTCTTCGCTTTCCCTCCTGCACCCAACTCTTTACTGTCTCTCTCCTCCATATTTTTATATTCTTTTTCCCGCTGAGCGAACTCTGCCTGTAATCGCGTCTCTCACTCTCTCTCTCTCTTCTGTTTGCCGAGGAGTTCAGTTTGAGGGTTGAAGAACAATCGAGTAAGCTCGCTTTCTCTGATTTTTTCTTCTTCGTTTTCAATCACATTAGTTTGCTGTTCATGGTCTGTAAAGTAATTGCTCTTTTTTCTACTTTTTGTTAACCTTATTTGGAATCAATCAGTTTTAGGGTTTTGCGTTACTTTTGTCTTTTGGGTAGATTTTCACTCGATTAAGCAACTTACTGTTATACCCATGTCGTCTTTTTCTTGCAGGTGAAAAGTATTTGCTTTTTTGGGTACGTACTTGTTTGATTATTCTCAATGGCATTGTTTTGGGTTTTTACATATAATGTGTGTTTCTATTAGTTTCAATGACTTGTTTGTCTTTGGTCTTTGAAGTATGAAGTGCACAAACTTGAGCTTGTTTTTGCCCCAATTGTTTCATTTTAGTGTTTTAGCTCACTTTCTGTGTGTTTGTTACCTAGGGTTTTGTGGGGTGGATTTATTGAAATTCCAGTTGTTTCTTTGGATGTGTGCAGGGTGAGACATTTTTTTTCTGTGAGAAATTTTTGAATGCATGTCTGTAGCTAATGTCTCCTTTTTTATCTTTTTATTTTTATTTTTTTATTTCTGTTATTTTATTTTAATTTTTTGTATTAGGTTTATTTGTCTGTAGTGGCATGATAATTGAGACTGTAGTTGTAGATCTAGTTTTGTTTCTTTTTTGTTTTTTGTTTTTTGTAGAATAACCATTGTGTGTTATGTTATTGAAAATTTTAATTGTGGTTTTGGGGAAAGTAGAGTCAGCTGGTTTCATCCATAGTTGGAAAAAGGGAGAAGGGAAGAAAGAGCTATTTGTAAGAGTTTTTTATTTTGATTTTTTATTTTATTTTAATCTTAAGTGTTGTTGCTCTACTGGTTTCATCAAGTTTTTGACGAGGAAGGTTTATTGCTTTAAGACTTGTAGTTGATGTATGTTTGGTCTGAGACTTGTTAAGTTGTGTTCCTATATAGTCTTTACTTATGATTAGTTCTAAGCATATTTTTGGAGCATATTGATTTAAAAAAAGTGTTTAAACTTGTACAAAGATCTTATATTTTTAAATTGAACTCTAGTTATTAACACCAGTGAGTTGAGGTCCCCAGGGATTACATAATATATTATATGTGGGCTCTAAGGCTAGGTTTTTTTAATTATTGGACACCACAAGTATTGTTGAGGTATCGAAGTATAATTTCTTAGAGGCATTTAATGATTTAACAATTGTTTGTTTAACTCTTGAATTATTTGGCATGTTTGGAATTGGAGTGGTTTAATGTTTTACTTTTGGAGGAGGGGAAGCAAGGAAATGGCAAGTACATGGCTTGAGATGGATGAACTTGATGACATGCAATACATCACTATAGTTTCAGGATACAATGTATCTGCTAGGCAACCTATATGGTTACTATTTATGGTTTTTGAGTTTATTCACTCAACAAGATAAGGAGATGTGAAAATGCAAAGAATAAAATAAGAAAGTGGTCTTTATGTCGCGAGAGATGCAATTCTCTCGTAGTTATGAACCTTATGGTTCAAAGTCTTGTTTCAAAATTGTTTTGTTTTTGTTTTTGTTTTATGTTTTTTTGTTTTTGGTTTTTAAATATGTTTATTGATGTCATTTTCATAAACATTAGAGTATGCTACTCAAATGCTACTCTTCATTTTTTAGCAGTTGAAATTCAGAAAAATGTATACACTTTACCAAACCAAACCAAACCAAACAAAGCCGTAAGTCCCATCAAATGGGGTCGGCTACATGAATCCTTTTTTTCTACGCAGCCTATCAAAGGCCATTTCAGAAAAATGTATACACTTTATCTTATCTAATTCCCTTTTTTACATATGTACTTTGATGCTACTCTTTATTTTATCTATTCATTCACATAAATAGTTTAAAGAAGCTTCCAAAGCTCTTCAAATGTAGCTAGCTTGGAGAATAAATGTTAGAATAGCTATTGTAGTAGCTACCCTGTTGGAGGGACTAAAATGGGCTAAGGCTATCTATAATAACCAACAGACCTCCTTTGAAGAGCCCATTGGAGATGCTCTTAGAAGTTAGAATCATAAGGAAAAGATATAGGTATACTAGAAATGGTGAAAAGTTTACTAGACCATTTGTTTTGAGCAAATGGACATAAAAAGTCTAAAGCAAAAGTTACTTTAAAACGTGATTAATAGATCTCATTTATGAAGCACGACCACCTCTCCGGAGGTCGCATACAAGTGCTCAACACGTGTCGGACACGGACACGGGCCGGACACGCTGGAAAGAGTTGGACACGTTGGGACACTTTGGACATGCTAAGGACACGCAAGGGACACGTTGCGGACACTCTAGGGACACGTTGAGTATTATTTTTTTCAAAAAAAAAATTATAAAATTTAATTTGTTTACTAAAATAGCATACCTAAGGTTGATAAATTTGGTAAAATTAAATATTTAACATAAAATACATATTAAATATTTAAAAATATACATATAATAAAAATACAAAAATATATATTTTGAACGTGTCCCCAACTTGCCGTGTCCTGCATTTTTTCAAAATTTACGTGTCCGTGTCCGTGTCCGTGTCCGTGCTTCTTAGGATCTCATTGCATAGGTGCACCCATGTGGTAAAACAATAATGTCATAGAAAATGAGTGTATAAGATGTCGTTAGAACCTTATGAGATCATTAACAAGTGCCTTTTTAAAGATGTGAAAATTGATATGATAAGCATGGTTGTAAATTGCCTATTGATCCTTGGGTAAACTACCAATAGGTCCTAATAGTTTGATTTAATTCTCATCAAGTCCTATTGAAAATAATTCCTAATAAAATTGTCGTTAAAAATAATTTTTTGTGACGATTTTTTGCATATATCGCTAAAAATTGACAATTTGTGACTTTTTTTTGGTCACGATTTTTATAAATAGTCGCTAAAACTTACAGTTAGTGACTTTTTTGTGATGAATTTTTCAAACTGTCTCTAAAAGTTGAACGTTAGTGACGTTTTTTTGTGATGATTTTTTTAAATTGTCGTTAAAACTTATAATTAGTGACATTTTTTGTGACAATTTTCAAAATGTCATTGAAAATTAACAATTAGTGACTTTTTTTTAATAGTGTTTGATAAAAAACGCCATTAATTATCATAGGACCTATTGGATAATAAGCCCATTTATTAGGACTTACACGTAAGTCTCCCTGGATCCTTTTGATTGTAGAAGTGAAAATGGTACACAGTGCCAAACACTTAAACTCGTGGCCTTTTAAGTGTGCATCATATTGCAAGTCCGTATAAATGATAAGCTTGCATGGGGAGCTAACCTACACCCATCTTCAAGGGAAGCAAAACCAATGCTTCGTACTTCTTAGATAGAAGCAGAGGTGGAGTGTGGGGAGCGGCGCAGAGCAATAGGGTTGGTCCTACAGTGTGGGTGGTGTGGCTTTAACTGGTTCGGGTTAGTCGAGGGTTATTGAAATGGTATGTATATAATCACTACATCTACTACTTGCTTTTTAGCTATCTTATTTAAATATTTGTTGTTATGTTCTTCTGTTATGTAAGAAGTTGTTCCTTGCATACCTCATGTATGCTGGTGGTTTGGCGTGTGTGAACCTTATTTTCACGACTGCTGGAAATTTATTCACCAATATGTCATGTTGGGAGTTTTTGAGAAGTGTCATTGAAATGGCCAAAATTATGAAATTTTATTTTTAAATTAAGACCCATTCAAGAAGTGTTAGACACTGCTGGAAATTTGTGTTAATGCATATAATATGATAGCGGTGTTGGTGGTAGATAGTGACATGTATAGAATATGATAGCGGTGTTGGTGGTAGATAGTGGCATGTATAGAATATGATAGTGGTGTTGGTGGTAGATAGTGACATGTATATAATATGATAGTGGTAGATAGTGGTAATATATAATATGTAAGTGGCATATAATGGGTTATAATGATGTTTGTAATATCTCCTATATAAGGAGTGTCATTTGGTCTTGTAAAATAAGAAGTTTTGAATATAACGGAAATATATTCCTTCTTCCTCATATTTTCGGAGTTCTTCTTCCTCATATTTTCTAAGTGACACTATGTTGGAAGGAGAAAGGAGGGATGGAGATCACAATCCTCATTCGTGTGTGGTATGGATCATGTTGTAATGGTCAGTATCTATGACTCCTCATTTGTGTGGTATGGATCATGTTGGGAATAGATAATTAAGAGGCTGATGCCCAAATCTTAGAGGACTAATCTTTTTGTGAACTTTGATTGTTTAGTGGATTTTCTTTGGGACTGCCTACACTGGTTCTTATAGTGGTTACATTTATCTGTGATCCATCATTGCAAATAATTTTCACCTACTTTCCCCTAACACTCCGTTTGGATTGGGGAAGAGAAGGAAGGAGAAGGGAGGGGAGGTTTCCTTCCTCTTTTTGATTTCCTCAGATTGGAGGACAGTGTGTGAGGTGTAAATTGAGAAGTTGGTCGCTTATGTTTTCTTTTGTTTTTATTTCTTTTGGTGGACTCCTTGTCCTCTTATTGTGCCTTTTTCTTTTCTCAATAAAATTTATTTTTGTTGCTAATCAGAAAAAGATAAAATAAAAGTAAGGGAACTGAAGGGTTACCTTACATGGGAAGGTGATGTAGGGGATCACAACTCCCTTTAAATAACAAGTTGAATATGTAACGTTTAAATAATATGTGAGGGGTATACTAGGTATCAGAACATAATTTTTATGACACTTCGCTTCACCTCCATTTCCTCCCAATTTGGGAGGGGAAGAGATGTGTAAAAATATTTGCTCTGTTTGGTTTCCATTTCTAGAATCACTTTTTAGAAAATTCTACTTTTTCGTTTTTTATATTTTTTTGTTTTCACTAATTTTTTAAAAATATTTTAAGTATTTTTTTTTAAATTTTTAGACACACCTAAGATAAGCACATTTAAAAAGTATAATATTTGTGAAAAAAATTCACTAAATACCAAAAATACAAAAAAATATAAAATAAAAATTCAGTACATTTATCGTATTTTTGGGTATTTATTAATTTTTTAAAATATTTTTTCGCAAATATCTTACTATTTAGATACATCTAAATAAGGTGCATCTAAAAAAGTAAAAAATTGCTTAAAATTTTAAGAATATTCACTAAAAACAAAAAAAAAACACGAAAAACAAAAAACTCAATTTTCAAAAAATTGAAAACCTTATTACTCAGACAAGGACAAACATCTATATTTAGGAACACAAATTTCTCTGTAGGCATCTATGTGTGTGTCAATGTTGATGGTTCCAAAATACTGTCACCTTTTCTTTATTTCTGATCTGGATATTTGGCAACTAATCTTCTCTCTCTTTTTCTTTTTTTTCTTCATATGGTGGCAGTTTGTCTCCTATGTTGATAAAATTTTGCTTTATGGTTGGAAGCTTATTTCTGAAGTTTCACCCATGCCTTCCCTCTTCTCCAAAGCCTTCCCTTTTTGTCACCATTGTTAACTGTAAAATAAATTGATACACTTTTGCAGACCTCTGTGGGGAAATCTGAACGACTGATACAAGCTTAGCATGTTTACTTGGCTGTATTGCTACATCATTCAAGCATGAGGTGTAAATATAACCTTATTCGTCTAATTCATTGTATGGAGGTAAGTTGATTTGGATTTTCCGGATTCTGGATCAACAATGGAGTGCAACAAAGAAGAGGCTATCAGGGCCAAAGAGATTGCGGAGAGGAAGATGCAAAATAAAGACTTTCAGGGGGCACAGAAGTTTGCACTTAAGGCCCAACGACTCTATCCTGACCTGGACAACATTTCCCAGATGATTATGGTTTGTGATGTACACTGCTCTGCTGAGAACAAGATTTATGGAATTGAAAAGGACTGGTATAGTATCCTCAAAATTGAGCCAACGGCCGATGAGGCATCAATCAAAAAGCAATACCGGAAGTTTGCTCTCTTGCTTCATCCTGATAAGAACAATTTTGCAGGTGCGACAGATGCCTTTAAGTTGATTGGAGAAGCTCAGAGGGTGCTTTTGGACCGTGACAAACGGTTGTTACATGACAGTAAATGTAAAGTTTCAAGGCCAGTGGCACCAAATTGGGCCCCACAACAGGGAAGCAGTAACCATTTTATGAGCAAGTCTGCTTCGCCAAGCTTCAATCCACAGCCTCAGCAGCCAAAAACACAGACTCAACCAGGGTTCGCTAATGACCGACAAACTTTTTGGACTGTCTGTCCTTTCTGTTCTGTAAGATATCAGTTTTATAGAGATGTAGTCAACAAACTTCTTTTTTGTCAAAGTTGTAAAAGGTCCTTCACTGGCTATGAGGCTAAGGCTCAAGCTATACCACCAGGAACAACCCGGAGTCGGCATCCATTCCCCCAACAGAAAGAGGTTCCCAATCTGGGTGCTTCTAGGGCCAATGTTCAAGGTAAAGTGGGATCTCAGGGAAATGCTAGCAGTGAGAACAGAACAAGAGAGTCTATCCTCAAGACAGGAACTTCTCAGGTTGATAGGGAGTTTAAAGCCAATGTGAAGTGTGGAAATGTGGATGTGAAAATTAATAAAGACGGTGAAGCTAAATCCTCAGGAAAAGTAAATGGTAAAAGAAGGAAGCAGGCAGCAGAATCAAGTGGTAGTGACTCGGAAGATATTGTTGAAGAGAATGGGGATGTTCTGGCTAAAGAGGATTTTGGATATTATGGAGAGTACCCTCGGAGATCTACTCGGTCTAAAACAAACATTTCTTATAACGAAAAATTAAGTGACGATGATGACTTGGGGAGCTCTTCGAAGAGGGCAAAGTGCGGTTTTCATGCTACTGGAGATCCATTGTTGAAACAAGGAGCACCCAAAGTGAACAAATCAGATAGTCATTCTGTTTATATGGAAGAGGCTGTGAACAAGGTGAAACGGAAAGAAAGTGCTTTTTATGAGGGGAACTTGCAGAATGGGAAAGAAGAAAGGGAGAAAGGAAATGGAGAAATAAGGGCTACGAAGGATAACCACAAGAGAAGCTCTGAAGCAAATGTCGAGTCATCATTGAATTCAAGCTCTATTGTGGCAAAAGATCCAGAAATTTATGAATATCCTGATCCAGATTTCAACGATTTTGATAGGGATAGAAGAGAAGGATGTTTTGCAGTTGGGCAAATCTGGGCTGTTTATGATACTTTAGATGCCATGCCCAGATTTTATGCTCGAATCAAGAAAGTGTTGTCACCTGGGTTCAAATTGCAGATAACTTGGCTAGAGCCGGACCCAGATGACGAGGATGAAATCAAATGGGTTGATGAGGGGTTGCCAGCTTCATGCGGTAAGTTCAAGTATGGAAACTCTGAAAACACCGAAGATCATCCTATGTTCTCACATTTAGTCTACTGGGAGAAGGGCAGCAAAAAGAATACTTACAAGATATATCCAAGAAAGGGTGAAACTTGGGCCCTCTTCAAAAATTGGGATATAAAATGGCACTCTGATTCAGACAGTAAGAGAAAGTATGAATTTGGGTTTGTGGAAATCTTGTCAGACTATGCTGAGGGTATTGGTGTTTCTGTTGCATACCTGAGTAAGGTGAAAGGCTTTTCATGTCTTTTCTGTCGAACAGTGAAGGAAGGAATGGACTCATTTCAAATACCGCCAAATCAACTGTTCAAATTCTCCCACAGGGTTCCTTCCTTTCAAATGAGTGGTGAAGAAAGAAAAGATGTTCCTAAGGGATCTTTTGAACTTGACCCCGCTTCTCTGCCTACTAGCCTAGAAGAGATTGATGTTCTTGATGATTTGAAAGTGGAGGCCACAAACATGCGTTCGGATATTTCATTTTTTGAGCGCATTCGTGCCAACAATTGTACTGAAGACCCTGATGTTGTTCTGTCTTCAACTCCAGAAGCTTTTGAATTTCCTGATCCAGAATTTTTCAACTTCGATGCTGAAAAATCCCCGGAGAAGTTTCAGATTGGTCAGATTTGGGCATTATACAGTGACGAAGATGGCTTGCCAAAGTACTATGCTCGGATTACGAAAATTGATTATTTGCCAGAGTTTACATTGCATATAACATGGGCTGTTGCCTGCCCACTGCCAAAGGACATGATTCAGTGGCTTGATAAAAAGATGCTCATTTGTTGCGGGATGTTTAAGCTTCAAAAGCGTGCATCCATCACATATACTGAAACCAATCCCTTTTCTCATCGATTAAGAGTAGAACATACAGATAAGAAGGATGTATATGCCATCTTCCCCAGAAAAGGTGAGGTTTGGGCACTATACAAGAACTGGAATGCTGGACTTAAACGTTCTGACTTGAAGACCTGTAAATATGACATGGTACAAATCCTCGAGGAAGATGAAATGAAGATAAAGGTTTTGTTTTTAGAGCTGGTGGGTGGTTTTAAGTCAGTTTTCAAGCCTCAACAGGGGTCAACATGCATGATGGAGATTGCTCAGAGGGAGCTGCTTAGATTTTCCCATCAGATTCCTGCTTTCCGCTTGACAGAAGAGAGAGGTGGCAGCCTGAGAGGGTACTGGGAGCTTGATCCTGCAGCATTGCCCGTCACTTTTTTCCGTTCAAGTTGATATTGGGAGGGCGGGGTGGATGAGGGAATCTAATATTTATATGCACCCGATATCTGTGATACACCTCGGTGGCTAAGGCCTTCCAGTCATGTGATTGTTCGGTAAATGATATGTTTTGGTGGAGGACTGGCTCAGACTGGATATGTATTCAAAAACCTTGAGCCAGTTCTGGGATGAATTAATGCGTCGACTTGTGCTTTCCCAATTTTGGTCATCCTGATGTGCATACATGGGCCGTCTTACCAGGACAGTGGAGGTCCATTTCTGATGTTTTTGGTCTGTGGCTAGCTGCATTGGATTGAAAAGGTGACTGTTTCTATTGCTTTATCCCTTTCTCTTTCTCTTTTTCTTCCTTTTCTTCTTCTTCTTCTTCTTCTTCTTTTTGGGTGAATCGCAGCTTGGCCAATTAGGTTGACTAGTAATCGGCAGGATGACATGAAACAACTATTGTTGTCTAAACTGTAGTGTCATAATTCACTGAGACTTGTTTATCTATGTATGTAGATGTACTTTTGTAAGCCTTTTTTAATATCTCGACTTTAGTAGCCAAGCAACTCAGCTGCATATTGTTGTTTTACTTTCAGCAATGTACTGATGGCCTCAGTTTTTTATATCTCAACTTTGGTAGCCATTGTTAGCACAAGCTACTCAGCTGCATATTGTTTGACTTTTTACTTTTAGCAAATTACTGGTGTCGTCAGTTATATCCTCTTATGTGGGCTTTTTAGTGCAGCTTAAGAAGCTGCTTATAACTTCTTTTTTTGGGTGTGTACCTTTAAAATCTTTTTTAGGAGTGTTTGGTGCAATGGTAGAAATAGCTTAAATAAGTTGAAAAAAACTGATTATTGAAAGCAAGGGAGATGTGCTTTTAGCTTTTGATTTCTGATGTTTAGCTTTGAGGTTGCTGAAAGCTGCACCAAACAGTGCCTCTATTTGCCGAGTCATTTGTGTACTCTCAGTACTGAAGTTGGATAGAGGTCTTAGTTGTGCATTAGCTTATTGTACATTTCAGTTTTATCAAAGGATTGTGCTCTGGTAAAATAGTTGAGTTGGAATCTCTACGATGACACTTGTTGCCAAGGCAGCTGACCTGGATATAATAAGTTCTGCATATAAATGTTCTTTAAAAGGACTGCGTGATATTCATCATCTGGCGATATATAGCAGTCCTTGACATAGATGCAAATATTTAGTTTTCTGCTTCTACAGATGTGCCTATTTTACCTTGTGTGCATTTGTGTGTAGTATTTATTGTGTTTTGTTGTTTGGTTGCTTGATGGTGAATCGATTAGCAAGTGATGTTGGTGAATTGGTTACTTAAAAAGCATTCGCAATGTGTTGCTATTCTAGTAGTAGGTGAACAAATGATCACTTTTGTCTATTAGATGAAGATAGTCATGTGTTCTCTATCCACATGGCCATGTAACAGGCTAGTGCAAAATGCCCTAATGGTCCTGTTTGGCAGTGTCGATGTTTGGTGCAACTTCTGTATACAATTTGATTATTTCTAAGAACCAAACCAAACAGAGAATGTTTTGTTTGGGGCATTCTGATAATCCAACTAGGGCCCTCTCCAACCCAATGCCCAATTGGTATTTTCTTCTTCTTTCAAAGTTATTTCTGTACTTTTTAAAAACAGTTTATTTTAAAGTTATCAACAATAGGAAAGCCAAAAAAGAAAAAAAAAAAACCCTATTGCCAAAGCAATATTTACATGCTTTTATAAATTTTTTTTTATCAAAACAATTTTGTAAATAAAATCATTACTTGCCTTGGCCATAATTTTTATAAAGCTAGGTGCATGTGAATAGTCGCGACACACACACAAAAATAAATAAATAAATTACTTGTGATGATAAAAAAGAGTTATAAAAATGTTTTTTAACAAACATTTTCAGCAATTTGATTAAATCATCACAAAACAAAAAGGTTATCTAGAAAATATAATATAAAAATTATGAATTTAATTTAATTTGTAGAGAGAATTGTTGAAAAATTCAATTTAACAATTGTCTAAGGCATTAAGTACAATGAAATATTTTTATTCGTGAGAGATCCATCATTTGTAAAATATTTTAGTGAGAAATTTTTTCATTATTTTTGAAGGATATTTTATTTTCAATTTATCTCTTATTTATTTGTTGAATTTTTTTAACTATCTGTTCAAATTTTTTTATTTGTTCAATTTTTTAATTATCTGTTCAATTTTTTTTATCTGTTTAATTTTTTGACTATATCTGTTCAAATTTATATCTATCTGTTCAAATTTTTTTTGTATAAATTTTTTCTGTCCAATTTTTTATTTGTAGAATTTTTTTTATCTGTTTAATTTTTGAACTATCTTTTTCATCAACAACAGTAACAACACAGATCTGGATACCACAAACACATCAAATATATCCAGATCTGGATTGACCCGTTTCAAATCCAAAACACATCAATGTATATATATATATATATATATGAACTGCCTATTCTGCAATGAAGAAAGAGACTAATTAGAATAGTAAGTTCTACGGTGGCTTTTGTGTTCTTATATATAAATGGACCCAAGCCTCTTCCACCTTCACTGTAAACTCCTGCTTTAACAATGAACCCAAAAATATATATATATATATATATATATGAACTTCCTATTCTGCAACGAAGAAAGAGACTAATTAGAATAGTAAGTTCTACGGTGGCTTTTGTGTTCTTATATATAAATGGACCCAAGCCTCTTCCACCTTCACTGTAAACTCCTGCTTTAACAATGAACCCAAAAATATATATATATATATATATATATGAACTTCCTATTCTGCAACGAAGAAAGAGACTAATTAGAATAGTAAGTTCTACGGTGGCTTTTGTGTTCTTATATATAAATGGACCCAAGCCTCTTCCACCTTCACTGTAAACTCCTGCTTTAACAATGAACCCAAAAATATATATATATATATATATATATGAACTTCCTATTCTGCAACGAAGAAAGAGACTAATTAGAATAGTAAGTTCTACGGTGGCTTTTGTGTTCTTATATATAAATGGACCCAAGCCTCTTCCACCTTCACTGTAAACTCCTGCTTTAACAATGAACCCAAAAATATATATATATATATATATATATGAACTTCCTATTCTGCAACGAAGAAAGAGACTAATTAGAATAGTAAGTTCTACGGTGGCTTTTGTGTTCTTATATATAAATGGACCCAAGCCTCTTCCACCTTCACTGTAAACTCCTGCTTTAACAATGAACCCAAAAATATATATATATATATATATATATGAACTTCCTATTCTGCAACGAAGAAAGAGACTAATTAGAATAGTAAGTTCTACGGTGGCTTTTGTGTTCTTATATATAAATGGACCCAAGCCTCTTCCACCTTCACTGTAAACTCCTGCTTTAACAATGAACCCAAAAATATATATATATATATATATATATGAACTTCCTATTCTACAATGAAGAAAGAAACTAATTAGAATAGTAAGCTTTACTGTTGCTTTTGTGTTCTTATATATAAACCAAAGCCAAAGCCAAAGCCTCCTCCTCCTCCACCTCCACCTCCACTGTAACTGTGACTCTTGTTTTAACATCGATCATCACCCCATCTTTATCCAATGCCAATCATTATCTCTTACTAAAACTTACAAACTCTAGCAACAATAACACATTCGAGATCAGAGATCGATGCGGGGACCAGATCGAAGATCCCAAATTTGTTTCAAATTTGAGATCAGCGGTGACTGAGACGGCTACGGTGGTGTTGGGATGGTGGAGGTGGTGTCGAAGATGAAGAGATAG